ACTGGTTTGCAGTCCATCACTTCTTTAGAGTAGCAAGTCTAACTATATTTAATGCTGCTATATAAGGAGTAGGCAGCGCAACTAGAAACTCCTAGGAAAAAAAGAGTGAAAAACACTGTCATAGACAAAGTCTACTGAGGCTGCCTCACACACACTAAAATTAACTCCCTTTTTTTTTTTTTAAATACCACTTCAGTTTTTCAGCAGTTGTAATGGCACTCCGGAGTGTGTGGGTGTGTGAAGTTTTGGGTTTTAAATTATTACAGTACAGAAGGTACTTAAATTTTCATTATGCAAAGGTGAGCTTCCAACATTATATACAGAAATTCAGTAGCTTAATTTGATGGAAATAAAGATGCAGTAAGGAAACTACATTTTCCACAAGGATGCCTCTGAGAATCGAAGTTGTTTTTAAATTGCCTGTATTTAGAGGTTGATACTCTGTGAAAAATGTAAGAAAATGCCTTCTTCCCATAAGAAATACAGCAGATGAGGCAAGGATATTGCACAGCTCTGCACAGAAGAAAGCCAAAATCTTGACACTTCTCTGTGAAGTTTCTTTCCTCAGGACTCAACACATTCATGAGTCTCAACCTTAACACTCGCAGTACAGGTCTGAAGAAGCACAGCATTTTACAGAGAATGGTGGTTTACACTGAGTTGTGTTAACTCTTTAAGTGTAATGCTTGCCTTTTCAGCTAATCTGAAAATAGTGGGTATAAATAATAGTAATCTGCAAATAATATACACGAACAACTTTTTTTTTTTTTTTTTCCATAAAACATCATTTGCTTGCTGTTAAAGGAAGAACAATCCCTCTCCCCTGCTCTATAGGCAGGGGCTTTGGTAAGCTGAGAAATGACTTGTCTGGAGCCCTGTCTTTATCTAGCTTTTGTTTCATCAGATGAAAGGAGTTGCCTTTTATTTGCATAGTTAATTACAAAGTTCATTCTACATACATAAGAAAAACTAGTGGAATTTCGGTAATCTGCATAATTACATCCAGTGGAATATGAAAAACCTAAAAGAATACTCTACCGATTATAGTGTGAAGCTAAGCATATTATATGATGCTACTGAACAGAGAAGACAAAGGACTATGTGGAGGCTTTAGCATCAAGTAACTATTACTGATATTTAATCCTCATTAAGAAATAATCTGATCCTACAATTAAGAACTGATAGAATATATAGTGTTACTGTTTACTTCAGGCAAACAGGGCTGACACTTCAGGTATTAGACAATGGTCATAACTGCATCAGACTCCTCCAGAAATACTTTTCTGACACTTCTGTCCAAAAAGGATCTGTCTGTAGAAGTTCATAGTGTCTGAAAGGAAACTGAGGAAACAAATCTCTTCAAATTTTTAGATGCAGTAGAAAAACAGACACATTAATCATTCAGTATTTCATATAGGGAGTCTGAACTTAGCTTTATTCTAGGTGGGGGATTTTTTTTCAGGTGTTGATTGTTTTTTCTTTCCTGCTCCTGAAAGCATGATTATGAGATTCCTGTATTAGCCTGTATTTCAGTGGGAGTGACTGAAGTCCAAGCAGCAGCGGAGGACTGTGTGTGCCTCATGAAATAATCTACCTTGGGGAAACTGACTGCTTGTGAAAGCCAGAGTTTCACAGGGTCGGGGTTTGGGGTGGTAGCTACCTTACTGCATTTGGAGTCCTCATTCCTTTTCCATATTTTAAATCTTGTAACACTAATTTTTATTTCTCTGTGTTCCAAAAATCTTGACCGTGAAATGGTATTTTGGGTGGAATATATCAGCAGTGTAATCATGTAACATCTGAGGTTTAGTATCAAAATTTGTCCTGCTATCTTCGGCGTTGAATTGGAGAGAGGAATCTAGGTACTTTTCTGTCATGGTGTTATTCTAAATAAGCACTTTGATTTTGTAAGAGGAGAAAGTTCTGTCCTCACTTAAAGCTCAGAAAAAATTATTACCAAGGTTGCAGAACTATTAGCGTTGGGGATGTGTGCAGAATACATCCAGTGCAGCAGTTGTTGACGTTAAGTAGACATCAGTTACTTGATAACTGGTGTGTTGGTTAGTTGGTCAATAACTCATGGTTTTTAGAGTGAATTTTTTTTTCCCCCCTCTAACACTGTATCTCAGGCTGAAATAGCAGGTTCAGAAATTATATGCTATCAGTTTGAGATACTGAGTAATACAGAACTGATCTCTGAAAGAATGAAAAGATTTCTGCCTGGGTTGCATAAACGCAGGAACTATGACAAATCACAACAAAGTATTTGGTATTTTGAAGCTTACTTACCTTAGTCTTCCTCTGTGTAGTTGTTGGTGGTTTATTTATTTATTTATTCTATTGCAAATAACAGTGTTGCTTTGGTTCTGCATTTTCTAAATATATTGGTTGGTCTTACTTAATCCAGAAGCTGGTGTTCTATAGTGGATACTTCCCAACTCCTGTACCTTGTTTCATAACCAAATAAAAATATACTTCTGACAAAACAGCAAAGCCTTGTGTGCAGAAGCTCGTTCTTAAGGGTAGTCTTGTTCTTCCTTCCAGTGCGTCAGAGCAGAAGGTAAAACGAAATATCTCCCTATTAGAAGTGTACTGTGGATCCATCTTGGAAATCAAAATGCCAAAGAGAATTCAACTCCTTTAACAGAAAAATGTCTATTGTATCTTGATTAAAAGCTTATCTCACCTATACCATGTAACAGTATATACTGAAGTGCTGCTTTAGGAGGACATGTCTTGTTTCTTTTGAGTAGTCTTGAATAGACTTACACTAGAATATGTAACTTTTCAAAAACCTAATCCTAATGCAAAATTTAATATATTCTTAATACCTTCTAGTTAGCGTACCTTTGTAATGGAAAGAAATCTGTTTGATGTAAGTATTACTTTTCACTTACTTGGAGTCTTTTTTGTTTGTTTCAGGGTGCAGTCTCTGGGTCAGTTCAGGCTTCAGATCGACTTATGAAAGAACTCAGGGATATATATAGATCACAGAGTTATAAAACAGGTAAAATGCTTCAGATTTCCCTTCTTAAAATACACTTTAAAAGAATTCTCTTGGCAAATACTTCCTGCTAATCCTTCTGTGTTTTGTTGTCATATGTGTGTGTATATATGTCTGTGTATATATGTGTACACATATATAGAAATACATAGATACATACATTGTATATAATCTCATTATATAAAATAGTGTATGTGGAGAAAAAGGAAGTCAGGATACACATTCTCAAAGTTCTTCCTTTTTCTTATGCAAAGCTTCATACAAGAATTAACAGGACTGGTGTAACTATGAGAATGCTCTTGGGGTGGATGACTACAAAGAACAACTCAAGATTACTCCTGTGGGACTTTTTGATTTTTCATAACTACCTGAAATTCAGCTCTCCAGGTATATAGGGCAAAAGCTTTGACTACTACCAGTGGGTAGTACTGCTCACAAGAATACACTTGCTGTAGGGGGATTTGTGTCCAGCAGCAGGTTTTGTTATTTTACAGGCTTTAGCCTTAATTACACTGCTGTTGTTTTTCTTATTTTGTGATGGTCTTAATCTGATCCTGAGCTCCATGTATTCCTTGAAATAAGGATGTAGACGGCAATAGAAAACAAGCTTGTCTTTTGAATTTGTTTGAGTAATAAACACTGATTAGCTTTAGGGAGGTGGTTGGATGTTCTATTTGCTCCATATAAGGGCTGTATCTAAACTAGCTCAGCAAAGGAATCGGTATATTGAATTGCCTGAGTGTTACCATACGAGAAGTAGATATTGCATAGATTTCAGGCAAGATGTATTCCTGGAGGTCAGCTGAGTAGACAGCTCCATCACTGCAGCCAGGTATGAGAACCTGGTGCAGGCCAGGATGGGAACAGGAGGAATGCCCGATTTAGAAAGTCAGTCTAAACTTCAATCCTCTGTGTTACTTTTCTCCCCTAGTTTATTTTTAGGGGGCTTAAATTTCACGTGGTGGCTATGGCATTTTAACTTGTGTATAAAAGGACAGACCTGAAGAGGCAAGAGGCTCCTGGTTTGCCATATTTACCTTTTAGGTAAATAGCTTTATGTGCTGAAGTACTGTGGACAGTGGTAAAATGTGTGAACTATAAATTTGATTCAGTAACCTAGTGTTGATCTAAGGTAGCCTACTTCTTTTAGGCTTTATTGCAACTGAGTGCTTGCTAGTGTGCCCTAATCACCATCTATCTGGTAAAGAATGGATTAGTGGGTCTAAGGAAGAGCCTAGAAATGTATCTGTGTTAAGTCATGAGGGATGCTTTACTGCCCATGTATGATCTTCAGGGTTTGTTTTTGTGGTTAGAACAAAGATGGGGTATAACAAATCTGCTCAACTCTGAAGACTCTATGGTGCTTACTCACGTAGCGGTACTGCTGGAGGCACAACCAGAAGCCCCTGTAATAGGTGTACTTTGAGGTGAGGATTTGAGTTGCTTAATAATGCCATTTCTTGGCTTTAGATTAGTAACAAGTCTTAACTAGCTGCAAAAGACTGAACTCCTGATGTAGGAAAGCATACTCTAAATGATGAGGAAAAGTAGATCTTGCTAAGCTGTAAAGGAAGTTGAGATACTAAAGGGTGGGTATAAGCTAATACTTTAGTAATTAATTTAATACTTTAGTATTAGCTTATGACTGAAGAATGTTTAAAAAGACAGCAGCTGGATGCCTCATTTTGATCTCTAAACACGTTAATGAAGTGAAGTGTCAAGTGGAGGCTGATGCTATAAAACTGATGGCAATCCTGCTTTGAAACACCATGCTATTGATACATTTATTAAATTTTGCCAGTAAACAATGCTGTTTATTATAAAACTTCCACAGATTCATTCCTTACGGCTTTGTTTAGTCTTAGGACTTGAGTGAATTTAAGTATCAGTTCCTCTCCTTTGCACAGAACTCCTGCTTTTATAGCCTAGTTCTGTCTTTTGATGTTAGATAACTGTCACCATGTGAGCAGGGGCATATTAGATAATTGACTTTTTTTAATGCTATCTTTGTCCTGAGTACTTGCTCCACGGTCCATTTTTCCCTTAATTTAATTTCTTACTGTTAACGCACAAAGGGAACCATTGTGAAACTTAAAGGTTCTGGTAAACTGTTGCAAGGTAATTTAACACTGTTTTAATTTTTTGCAATATAAGCCAGAAAATCTAAGGCTGCCTTTTAGTTGCATAAGAATCACTTTATTTAGTGTATGTGAGGTTACATGTTTTCAGGATTGACAATAGGACAACACTGGGACTTCTGACATTAATACCTGTAGTAATAGTGCTTTAAATTTTTTGTTTTCTGTTAAACCATTTTATAAAAAAGTAGCATTAAAAATCACTGTCAGGACTTCAACTATGGGTGTATATTCAAGGTGGTATTTGTTTTAGAACTGACATTTCTTTAGTGATTGAAATACTGCTGTTGGAATTCAAGCAAAAGATGACTGCAAGATTGCTGTCAACAGGAAAGTTGCTTATCTGTCTGGAAAATGTAGGTGAAGAACTACCCTTAAAAACCAATAGAGAAACCATTTTCTTAGAAGCTAACAGAAGCAAAAAATATCCATCAAATTAAGATATTTTGCTATAAATTAGATGGAGTTTCATTAAACTGTTTTGATAATAGGAGTCACAAGTCCTCCAGACTAAGATGATCTCATTTCCAAATACAAAGTTGGATATTTGGCTAGTTCATATGGAATAATTCACAAATTTGGGGAGGGACAGGGAAGGAGAGGGAGGAACAAAGAATTTGGGGATATTAAATGCAATCTTTTCCGTTCATATCTTTAGCAGCTGTGCTGTTCCTATACAGTGACTTCAACTCACTGTTTTTATCCAAAGACTCTGGGATTTGATTCTAGTTGTAGTAAAGTTGCTATTAAGTAAGACATTGCCTCTATTTTGGAAGGGCCTGTTTTTCTTTGTACCTTTTAATCTCTTAATGTTTTCCTTGCTTCATGGTTCTGTGTGCTTGCTTTTACTTCATCTCCATGGATGGCCTTTTAGAGGAAGAAAACAAAAAACCTCCTGTGTTTTAAGTGAGGGGAACCTACCTTGATTCCCTTCCTTACCTTAAGGACCTCTCAGAAACCGGTACTAATCAGTTAAATTCTTCTTAACAGTAACTTTTTTCCTCTTATTGCCTAAATTAAGAAAAAAGTATATGAGCTTGTTCCAAACAACACCTCTTGCCTATTAAAAAAACCCGAACAACCCCCCTTCAGCTGTGGATAGTGGTGTTAAGAAGTTTGTATCAAGGCAGTGAGCAACGCTGCTGCTGCTGCTGCTCTTGAGGACATACAGATACTATTCAGCTCAAAATCTGGGTGCTTGAAAGGTTGATTAAGTAGCTTCCTGTTCTGCTAAGGTGCGTTCTTGTCAGTCCTGAACGTGCGTATCTTTCTGAAGAACCCTTTTACAACTTCTGGTTTAGGTACAGTACAGCTCTTAAGACCAGCAAAAGTTACTCCTTTGGGCAAGCTAGCAAAGCATGTGGACCTTGCTAACCCATGGAGCTGGAGGGCTGGTACGTGAATTCCGGGTAAGAGCAGGACTCTTAGGGTGGTGGAAGGAGTGCAGGAATAGGGGGAGAGGCTTAGTGAATAAACAAGCTGATGGAACTTCTCTTGTGATCTTCTATTACTTAGGATGTTGTCAGAATCCTTACTGCAATTTGTTCTGTGGTCTGTAACAAGTATTTTGGACTTGTGATAGGTGCCAGAGCTTTACTGAGTGGCGGCTTCTTCCAGTCTTCACTCCCTTTTGCATGTAGGTGGAGGAAGATAGCAGAGTTCTGAATGTCAACTCTTCTGGTGTTACATCAGAGCAGTACAAATGGAAATTCTTATACTTTGTGACTTCCACTTATACTAAGGGCAATTCAGAAAATAGTGTCCTTGGACCTGGGAAATTGGAAAAAGGCCGTAATAGCTCTTTCTGTTCATCCTTGAACAGAAAAGTGTGGCGTCTCTGAACTAGCTGCTGATTAAAAGGGACATTGAGAGCACAGTAAGTTTTCAGACCTACTTTGTTGTCCTAGACTTAGAAAAATTTGAAATCATGATCATGGATGCAGTATCCACTTGTTTGTGGCATTGTGGTAAGGAGAAATAAGCACGGTTTCTTCACCTTGTTTACTGAGTTTTGGAGTGCTTTAGAAATAAAGGTTACTGGAAGTGTCATCTGCACTCCAAGTACTAATGCTTAAAAATTTCAACTGCAAGATAATGTGTTCTAGAATAGTAAAACTCAGGAGTGAATACTGTAATTCCTTGGAGAGAATGTGGTGACTGCAGTCTGTTGGTTGTACAGCCTTCAGAAATCCTAGGCAGATTCCCAGTTAGCATATGTCTTCCAAATAGTTATGTCAGCAATAGATACACTGTTAAATATTAGCCCAGGTAACAAGTTTAATCATAGCTGTTTAGTGTATATGCATGAAGAGTCTGGAGGGGAGGAGATTAGACTTCGGAACATAACTCATACCATTTTCTAAATCTTGTCTGATGGTTAAAGAGCTATTGCTTTTTTTTCCTCGGCTGCTTGTGAACTTCTGCAGAGAGGAAGCCTGAATATACAAGGAAATAGCAGATAACCTTTGATCCTTCCCTTTGAGTGAAATGCATAACTATTGTTTAATGTGCTTAAAACAAATGGACCACTGAAAATCACTAGCTGGCTTGCAGAGACAGCTGGGTTTTTTGATGCATCTTTCTGTCTGCTTTGGTCAGCTGTTGGGAATGTGCTTCATCCAATGCGGTATCTTCTTTTCTGGGCTTCTAGTCCATACACTGTTCGGTGTCCTGTCCTGGTCTGCCAATACTGATGAGAACCTGTGAAATACAATGCTGCATACTCAGACTGTGATTAATTTTTTTTAAACGTGTTGGTCAGATACTGGGTATAAAATATACTGGGTACTAAGCAAGCTGGAGTTGTTGCTGTGGAAAGTTTGAAGAGGAAGTGGTTAGGTGTCAGAAAAGCATTTAGATTCATGTAGAATTTTTTTAATGGAAACAAAAGAATTTTTTTTTCCTTGTAGTTGCTCCAAAGTGCTTCTGCTGTTGGAGCATGGATGTGCCTCGGTATCAGTACCTTATCTGTTGCTTATGTCTACTGACAGTGTTTGTACTTAAAAGCAAAGAACGTTTTTGCTAAATTTTACCTTGTTAAGCTCTTAGTGCATAATTAATTCTATCTAATATTTCTACAGGGATATATTCAGTGGAACTGGTAAATGACAGCTTGTATGAATGGCACGTTAAGCTTCTAAAGTAAGTTGTTAAAGTTTTTTCATGTTCTGAAGAATCCGTTTTATTATTGCTGCAGAGAGTCTTACTTTTGATAAATGAGAATCTCTAGCCAGAGCATATAAATAGTGCGTGGTGGCTACAATTCTGGTACACAGAAATGCGTACAGAGATTGAACTGTAGTAACTGAGCTGGCAAAAAACCAAACCCTTGTTGCACAGCCAACACAGTGTGTGTCACTAACTTTCCTGAGTGTTCAGTTCTCTTTCCAAAAGTAGTCCAAAATATGACGCCTTAAATGATGACATTTTTTGTCTAGAGTTTTTCTGGGTGGTTCTAGTTTGGTTTTGTTTGTTTTAAATTCAAGAAAATGCAAGTTCTAGTTTTTTCCGAGATGTAAGAAAGAACACAACTCCCTTAGTGTCATTAGTTCTTTATTTCTAGTTGAGCAGACACATAGGACTAAAAATTTAGGTATAACATAATTATGACTTACATAATTATATACCTTGTTTTCTCTTATGTACTGCTTTTCACTGTGTGTACTAGATGATAAGTCATCTTGTTGTGTCCATAGTCCAGTAACTTTAATTCTAGAGGTGGTATATTGAAATTATTCCTGGGAATGGGATCATCTGCCATCATCCTACAAGATAACATGTAGGAAGGAAAAGCCTATCCAGACTAGGCTGGGTGGCTGCAAAAGACGGCAAGAGATGAAAGAACTTCCATCAGTTCAGATATGTCATGGTGAATAAGTATAAGGACATAAGCTGTTTTGGCACAATACTTGATCTGCCAGTAGGAATTGTTGCCTTGTCCTGGTGGTAAGACTTGTATGACTACGTCTCCAGCTGCTGAAACACAGTTTTGTTTCCTCCTTAGTGTAATCGTAGGCATGTGAACGTTTTGAAGCTGAAAATGGCAGGAATGAAAAATCTATGCCATATTACAGGAGGCCTTGTCTATAGAGCGCTTCTATAACAGAGTGCTTAAACTACTGTGCAGTGATTTGAAACCTCTTTTCAAGTGCTGTGAACAGGTCTGATTTTCTGCCTTCAAGAAAGAGAAAATGGAGTGCATGCAGCAAATGGCTTCCAGAATGACTAAGAGAAGATAAGAAGTATTGTGTTTGTTTATCCCAGCAAAAAGTGTCTGAAAACAAATGAACTGCATGCAGACTAGTTGAGGGGGTAAATGTCAGAGGGGAGAGAGAGCCTATTTGCCTAAGGAACAGTGTTGCTACGAGAACAAGTAACTCTGAGCTGGCCTAGTGCAAGCAAGGCTGGAAATGATAGGTTTCGAAGCATTGGGAGATTTTCTTCTGAAACAGCTTCCTGTTGGTAGAATGGGGACAAACTACTCAATTCTGAAATGAGATCTAATAAGTTTCACCTGTAGCAGAGGATTGGATTTAATAGCCCATCATTTTGTTTAACATCTGCATTTGGCTTGCTGCAGGCATTTTTTGGCTAGTCTCTCTTAAAAGCTGGTGGGGTGTCAGAGCCAGGGTGGGATTAACCCAGTAGCATTTGAATTAATGTCTAGGCTGCTCACCCCCAGCATTTTGCAGCAAACAATTGTTGAAATTCTGCTGAGCAGAAGCTGCTGGCTTTAGTGCTTCTGCTGATGCAGATTACTTGTAACAGCTGATACAGAACTGTGATCACATATTCCATAAAGGATTCACTAACTGTGTGCTGAAAACTAGATTGCTACAGTTTTCCTGTTAAAATATAGCTCCCCGCACT